TATATATATAAATGATATCATTTTATTTATTTATTTGTTTATTTATTTATTTTTATATTTATGAATAATAAAATAATATCATTTATTTGTAATCTTAAAAAGCTTTGAGACATTTAAATTCAAAAATGCTGAAAATCAATATCATTAGACAGCATTACTAAGTAATAATTTCAATGAGTTTATTGCAATGTTTAATAATTCTTAAAGAGGCCGACAAATTGAAAATCAAATAATACAGCATATTTACATTAAAGGAACTACGAGAATGTGGTATACTGAGCGATGATGATCCATTATCTGAGGTAGGAATAATAATAACTGATAGTTTAATTTTTGAAAGTGAATTATTATTGAGAAGTAACAAATTTTATGTAAATAACAAAGCCTTTTCAAAAGAAAAGTAGTGTATCGTTTAACAATAATTTTCAAAGCAATTTATAGCCACGAGCGATTTGTCCAAACAGCTATGTTTTCAAAGTGGTTTTCGTGGGAGATTCAGCAGTTGGTAAAACAAGCTTTCTGCAGAGACTTTGCTACAATCAGTTCAAACCCGTGTTTAATGCCACTATTGGAGTTGATTATACCGTAAAAACATTTCATCTGGATCATTGTGTAGTAGCCCTTCAATTATGGGACACTGCTGGACAAGAGAGGTACTGCATTGACATTTTTTTCGACTTTTTGTTTTTGTATTTTTTTGATGAAGGCATATACATGTTTGAGTAAAATGCAGTTATCTGATCTTATTGATATTTAATAATATTTAAGTAGTTATGAATTAATTCATAATTATTAATGAACTTCATAATATGTCATTATTTTTCCTTATTTTGATTCGTTCAAAAAATTTTATGCACTTGAGCTCAAATCAATATTTTGATTGATAATACTTCAGTTTTTCAGAACTTCAATTGTTATTTTTATTGCTCAATTTTTTCAGTAATTTTGAGCAATTACAAGTAAATTTCTTTCTTTTTTTCTCGGTTAACTAGAAAGAATATTTTGTTATAATCTGCAATCAGTATAAAATTATGTTAGCCAATTTTTTTTTGAAACTCAATAACCTACTATTTTTTGACACTATACACAGAAAGTATGGGGATTCGTTTGTCGCAGGTATGCCCTAAAACAAAATTCTGTGCTGCTTTATCACTTAAAGTTATTGTTTTATGAATTATAATACAGATTGAATTCCGTTTGATATACCTGAGGATTTGCTTAGCACTAAGTTCTGACTGAGTATAGTATTGATCCCTTTACAATAATATCTAATGTTTGCATGCTATAATTATAATTATATATTTTTGAAGATTTCGAAGCATAACTAAGCAGTACTTTCGTAGAGCTGATGGTGTCATATTAATGTTTGATGTGACTTCTGAGCAATCCTTTTTAAATGTCAGAAATTGGATAACATCTGTGAAGGCTGATGTAGAAGAAACTTGCATGTTGTGCTTGGTTGGAAACAAAGTATGACTATTTAAACATTTTTGATAACTTTTAGTAGTAACTATTTGACATAAACAGTTATTACTGCTTACTTTTTAATAAAATCATGCATTCAATTTTACTGATCAAAGGATGTCCGCCCACAAATGAAAATTTATATTTTCTATATTTAAAAAAATTTACAGATTGATTTGCGTACAAAAAATCGTTCCAAATTACTTACATACAAACACGGTAAAAAGCTTGCTGAAGTAAGCATTTCTTGAAATTTTCAAAAAAAAATAAACTAGTCTTAACAATATACCAAAAGCTAATTTATTATCTAACAAAAACTAATTACCATTATTGATAAGAGTAATTTGTGTGAAATTTTTTCGATCTTACAGGAATTCGATATGTCGTTTTTTGAAACGAGTGCATGTACAGGGTTCGGTGTAGAAGAATGTATGCGAGCCATAGCTATGTAAATTTTTATTAACAATTTGATTACAAATTTGATTAGAAAAAAGTTATTGTTATACAAAGCAATTAAAACATTTAGGCAAAAATTGTTAGAAGTAGAAAGATGTATATCTTGCAAACTGTAACGTTGTGAATATGCTAAAGCTCTCATGGAATAAATCGTTAATGAATAAAGCAATCTGCAAATAAGATGTGTTGTTTTTCGAAAAAAAATGCGTGGTAAAACTGACAAAGTTAAATGCTCCGAATATCACAATCTAATTATTTCTATTTTCAGACAATTGCAAGAAAGAAAAGAGCAGCTGGCAAATGATGGGCTCAAATTTGAAATGATTGTACAAAGAAAGGATGAAAATGAAAAGTGGTGTTGCTTTTAATGCAATACAATTTTGAGATATGAAATAATACAATTTTTCATCATTTTTTTCCTAAGCTTAAAATTCAAAGTGGTGAAATTAATAAGTTGTAAGCAGCAGCAGCAGCAGTTTTCTTTGAATTTTTTGGAAAGTTATACTTAAGGGGAAAGTACTAAACGTTTAAAATAATAAACAATAAGTTATAGAAACAAGCAATTGCAAAATGAAATCTGAGCTTTCAAATATTATTTCAGAGTTTTTATATATTTCAATCTGAGCTTTCATATGTATAAGTTTGTCTCTTTTATCTAGTAACAAAATAAATGTAAGACAAAAAAAAGTCAAATATAAATTAATGAAAAACTAATTCATTAAATAAAGTAAAGAATAGTTTTAAAAGAAAAAAAATATTGTGTTACTTTCAATATTGTGGCCACTTCAATTGTACTTCTCAAAACTATGGCCTGTTCAGTTATACCATACAAAATTTTAATTTATTACATTTACTTTCAACTTATGAAAATTTATGATGGTAATACTGTGAAAAGAAAGTTTACACGGCATAAGAACACGTAACGAAAATTCATCCATTACTTAATGTTGGAAAACTTTGGTTGTCAATATCGCATACTTGACAACAACATCATTTTAGCGTGTTACATTTTGTTAGTAAACTTTTACATTTGCTAGTTTTGATTTCATTTAACAAAATAATTGTTACTGCTTTTTTAATACTAAAAATGATTTTCATAACAAAGGAAATAGAAAAAAGAATTATCTACTGAAAATTTTCCTACAGTTTGTCTATATCTAAAAGTATATGTGATTTCACGTTTTTAGAAACGATTATTCAAAAATTATGCTTGCATGCAACAAATTGAGGATAAAAAATGCTAGATGGTATTTATTTAAAAATTATGATAGCTGAAATGATCATATATGCTGCGACTAAATTTCATTTTTATCATTCACATTACTTGAAGTTAGAGATGAAAATTAGAAGTATTTAGAATTTTTAGCAAATTTTACAAAAAAGTAAAAAATTATGAAAAAATTAATTTGCTTTCCTTGCATCTGTAAGCTATGATTTCATGTAGTTTTTAATTAAGAAATTTTTTATCAATTAATACAGTAACAGGGATTGAAATTTTCAAAATTATAAACAGATTCGAATAAATTTTAAAAAAATTTTGAAATTTAGCAGTAATATTCAATGAAGCAGCAAAGATATTGAAAAATTCATAGTTTGAAAAATTTTGGTAAATTCTGGAAATGCAGTGAACGGAATGTTAAAAAAACAAAAACAACTGTGTTAATCATGAATGCTCACTCAATATGAAGCATAAATTTTAAACACATGTCTCGCTACCTCGTCTTAGGATCGGTGTTGATATATCCTGAAGGCTTGAAGTTGGAAGTTTGCTATAGCTCATCTCATAATTCGTATACTGTGGAGGCGTACGAATGATTGCATCTTTATTGCCATGATAAACTAATGATGATGGTATTGTGTTCGTTGTCCTAAACCAATAATTTATAATTTTGCTTAAAATACTAAAAATCAAATTAAGAGTAATGCAGTACAGTGAAAAACAAACTAAAAAATTCAAGGAGTAATAAAAGTGTTTTAAACTGAATATGAATCAAAGTTTAAATCAATTTAGCGAGATATTTAATTTTATAAAGTTTCAATCTTTATGAAGTTATCACGAAAGTAAATAATAAAATGATTACTGATTCAGATTTGATCCATATTGCTGCTTTGCAGGAGCATTTGAAAGTGACAAAAATGCAAACAGAATGCTGAGAAGAAATGCAAGAAAGTGACTAAGGCATGCTGCAAGTTCCAGATAAAATGCTAAGCCAACTCGTTGCTAAATAATTCTATTTTATGCAATTTTTCGCATTTTTAGTATCATTTTATTTTTATAATAATTTTTATAATAATTAAAAAAAGAAACAGTTAACCATTTCAAACGAACAAGTGCTTTTAAGCAAATTCTTCTCGTATGTCTCAATAAATTTTTATCAAAAAGCTGATCACAGTAATCATGAGTTAGCACACAAATAATTATTAGAAATTTAGTAAGTTCTTAAGATGATTAAAAAATTTTATTAAACAAAAATATCGAAAACAAACTTCATAAGTGCCAACAATACCATTAATGAACCTATTATCTGCGCGATGAGAGTAAAAAAAAAAGACACCTCCAGCGATCGCAGTTAGAAAAACTAAAAATTCAAATATTTCTGAAATATTAATTAATGGAGGCAAATGTTTTTTGTAACTTCAATTTCCGGAACAAGTAATTTTTTAAATAAGGTTGATTAAAGAAACGTTTTTAAATCAGTAATTAGCTTAGATGAAATGGAAATGCATACTTACATGTAGAAAATATAAAAAATTTAACTTTCCATGTTTAATTTTTGAACAAATTTTATCATATTTATAAACAACAGTAAACTTACAGTTCAGTAATGTTGTCGTTGTGAAAATAAGTGCAAGAAAACGGTAAGTATATGAGCAACAAGCGATAAAAAGTGATACAACAGATGTTAAGATTGCTAATGCCAATAATATGAGTGTGGCCATTTGCCAACCTGAAGAAAAAAAAATATATTCCGACTATTCATTTGATGACATTCTTATTATTATTATTATCATTATTATTACTATCATTATCATTATTATTATTATTTTTTCATTTTTATTATTATTTTGAACAATTTATGACTGCTTTATATATACCGTAGAATCGATGTCTGTTGACTTCACTTACGGGATTTGTGTCATCGCTACTTTCAATAACAGAACGTGTACTATCATCGTAGTCCCACTTGTAAACACAGTTTAGAGGTTCACTTTCTGTGTAATATCTAAAGACAAAACTTTCATTTAAAGTATTGAAACTTCACTTCCATACTTAACTAATTAATAGTTAAAAACAATAATTTCCCTTTTTTCTTCCTTTAATAACATGCTTTTAGCATGAATTTGAAGTGAATTGGATAGAAAATATTTATACTTATATTTTAAATTTACATAGTATTAGCAGAAGCATAGTAACTTTGCACTAACATTTCAGTAATATTTGTTATACTCAAAGAGAAAAAATTTTTAAGTGATAAAATGCAAATTAAGATCTGTATGAACATTTTGAATGTATTTTGTTCAAAAAATCTGGTATAGAAGGGAGACAAGGATTTATTTTCTTTTCTTCAAAATCAAAAAAAAAGCTTTTAATTGCATATTTTGAATTTATTATTATTCTTTAATGTATTATTATCTTGACCTGTTCCCATTCAAGTAATTTTTTCTTAACTGTAAAAATTGTTTAATAATTTTTGGGCAAAGTACTACTCTACTAAAATAACTTTCTAATATACAAGCAATATACAACAAAAACACATTTTTGTAAGCAATATACGTAAATAAATAAACTTTATCACCTTTTAATTTGTAGTATTATCAAAGTAAAACATGAAATTGTATGTGTCAATGCAAAAAAAATAAATTCATATTTTTTCAAAATATTTCAAAACTTTAAATGGCATAATGTCAAAATAAGTATTGAAAATTGTTACTCATTCATGATACTTACTAAGTAAGTCAATGTAAAATTAGAAATTCTGAATTAAAAAAAAAAAAATATATATATATATATATATAATACCTTCTCAAAATGGGTCTCTCTTCACGGCTATGTCTTGTACAGTCCAGCCATAAACCATGCTCATGCACTGAGTTGTATTCAAAAAGATGAACTACCTTGAAATAATTCAGTTTTTATTAACTATTTACAGCAGAACTAATAAGATATCCTTCTGAACTTTGAATTATTTTTAAATAAAATTTTTTTATTTCGTGCATTTCATCCTTGATTTTGATCACAACTAACAAAAATTTTGTTAATTGAAAGTTGTTTTTCTTCATTTCTCATAAGTGCACACTTTTTGCAGAAAAAATACTTCTTGTAAAATGCAAAATGAACAAATACTCTTTAATACTTTTTTCAAATGAAAAAGGTATCTTAGAAATTGCATTGTTTCATTTGCACCGTAAAATACATTTGTTTTTCTGCTCATTCTGAATTCATTGCATTTTTACTTAACTAGAGTAAGATATATTACTGAACTACACTTTTCGGTAAATAAAAAAGTGATCCGAAAAAAGTTCCCAGGCGTAATTTTAATAAATATATTAAGAGAACAACAACAAACCTGCCATGAAGGTAATGTAATAGCTCTTATAGTTAAAGCAATGCCAGCAACGATAAAGAGTGATGTAATAAAAATGACAAAAATACGCAAGATTGGTGAACATTGTCGAGATGAAGTTGGTGGTTTTTGAACTGTACCTAATGAAGGCTGCTTTTCTAGAAATGATTCTGACACTATTGTCGAAGATTCGTTATCAAAGCTGCAAATAATAACTACATAACTGATGTTCCACGTAAATATTTTATTATGATTACTGAAATGTATAAAATAAAGCTTGATACATACTTTCATTTTATTTTTTGTAGTAAATTATATATCACTTTTCTACAACATAAATCACTGATTGATCAAAAAAATTTTTGCTGATTTTTAAAATTTTCTTTTTTTTATACTAAAAAATAGCAGAAAACAAAAAGTATGCTATATGAGAACGAAAATCACCTTCGCATTTATCCAATTTTTAATAATACTGTCTTCTGAAAAATGTCTTGTTTAAAAATGCATTAAAGAAATTAAACACATGCGAAATTTGACGAGAATATTTCTGGTTTTTACATTTTAAAAAACATTTTTGAAATCTGAAATTACTAAGCAATGAAAATGATTAAGAATTTTATCTAAAATTGCTTTCTTGAAGTTTTAGCAACTTTCGATTTTAAATTGGGATTGTTAGTCACCACAATTTTACCTAGGATAATTAAAAATTGTGATAAGAAGGATATGAAGTGTCTTGTAAAACATAATATTAGTCAATGACTGCTCAATGAATTTATTAAGAGCAAAATTATAAGAGAAAAAAATAGTAAAAATTACAATTATTTTACCATAACAATGACTTTGCACAATATTAATAATGTTTCATGTCACTATAAACGATAATTCATCAAAAAATTTTTGTCACAGATAAAAACAAAACATTCTAATTATTTATCAAAAATGTCTGGCAAATAAAGTTCTGTTCTAAAACAGTTATAATAAAGGCAATATATTTTAATATGCAATCATAAATTTCAAAGTGGAAGCAAATTAAATTGATAGTAATTTTGAATGTAAAATAAAATAATGTTAACAATATGTTGAAAAAAAAGATTACATGAATTTTGATTAATGATAAGCTTGCAACAAGAACTGAACTCGTAATAAATAAAAGAAGATAAGTTAGCTTAACAGAAAAAAAGCTGACAAGTAAGCAAAGCAATTTTTAAGCAACAAACATTTCTGCATGTTTGCCATTTGCTATATTTACTTTATGTGATGAGTGAATAGCGAAAATATATTAATTTTATGTTAATGTAAAATGGAAATGTTTGTACATTGTTCATCAGGGTCATGAAATAAATACATGGTAAGATTTCATGACAACATGTACAAAAAATTATAGCAATTGATGAATAACTTTCATTGCTGTAAAATTAGAACAAAAAAATATAGATTTTGTATAAAATAATACTACAGAAAAAGGCTGCAGTAGCCAAAAGAGGGATTAAACAATTAATTTTATGATGGCACTGAAGAAAAGAGTAATATAATTGCAGAAAGAAGAAAATAATTGCTCTAATCAACTAAAGTTATCATTGCTTAATCTCAGCTAGAAACTTTAGTCTCTAAACAAGTATAGATACATTTTTCAAAAGAGTAGAAAAAAAAAACGGAAATAGGAAGTATGGGTAAAATGATTATATTCCATGTCACGGGCGTTTATGCGAGAAATACTCACTTAAAGTCAGTCTTGATCAATTTTAATAGCAACGATTACTGCATAACCCTTTCAACTGCACAACCTTTCAATTACTACTGGTCTTTACATGCTATTTTCAATTCTTATGTTTCGCTCACTATTATTTCTGATTTACTCAGTTATGGTCAAATCATAAGCCATAATCAGTTTTCGTTAATTTTTTCAAACCAAAACAGAAAACCCCCACTTTTTCTGTCTACTTAATCACTCACTTTTTTAGCTCTAATTCCATTTACAATATCAAACCTTTTTGCATTTCTTCTTTTCTTTCCTCAAATCCTTTGATGACATATTTATGTCACCATCAGCACCGCATGATTCACATTATTCTCATATTCCAATCCTATTCCATCGAATAATCTATTTTCTTACTTATGTCTATCAAACAAATTACGAAAATTATACTATTTTAACTTTTATACTGCTGTATAACAACTATAAATTAAAATTATAAGAATAAATTATTATCAATGCATTAATTAATTCATTAATTTTTTATCCTAAAATATGCTAATTTTTTTTAATTGAGCTTACTTAAATTGAGATAAATAATTGAGTAGATTTGATAATTTGAAAAATTAATAAAATAGTCTGTGCAGTAACGAATAACTGTTTTTATTTTTCTTTCACATCAATCACTTTTCATATCAAAAGTTGATTGAGGTAAGTAAACATCAATGAGTCATCTATCTAAAAATACCAGTTTTGATATTCGCAAAGTCAAAAGAAGACTACAAAGGTAAATAGGAAAGGTAAGGTTTCAATAAAATTGAAATGATGACAATGCCAGGCTCATATGCATAGATAAATAAATAAATATATTATAATATGCAATCGACATCAGATAATATCTAACACTAGAAAAGAAAACTCCTCTCTTCCACATTCAGTGCATATAGAATTTTGACAACAATGAAAGATTAACGAAACGTAGAATTAATTATAAAAGATTAAAAAATAATATACTTGATATGATTTGTCATCAATTTCCTTTGCTTTTCTTATAATTGTGCAACAAAATCAACAATTCAATAATTTATTCATCTAATTGATTAATTGCTTGGATAAACGAATCTTCGTTTAATAATTATAATAGTATGCAATACTGCATTTTATTATATTAACAGTAATTTTACTTTTAATTATTACTTCATCAGCACTTATTCACATTTATTTCCTTTCAGCAAAGTTTTACTTTTAAATAAAGCATTGCTTTACTGAAAGAACAAAATTATAAAATACTGAAATCAGATCAATTTTCTTTCCATTGATATTTTTGAGATGAATACACGTACAATACACGCAACAATAAGTTTGAACTAAATAATCTGTAAATTTTTGCTATTATTCCATAGCAAAAACAGATACAATAAAAAAAGCGAAGAGCAGAAGTTTTAGGAATGTAACAAATAATCATAGAAACAAGCAAAATTTGGCGTAAATTGAAAAGATTCACTAATTCTTGAAATTAATGCTTGTTTCTAGCTTTAGATAACTAAAACACACAGTAGAAAGCTACAGCTTCTAACTTCAACTATTTCTTTCCATTTATAAACAAAGTAAATTGTATCATTAAGTAACTAGTTAAAAATGTCCACAGCACTAGTTTCCTCAAGAAGTCGCTGTTTATTATGATTCTTGTTTTGAACTTTTGTTCTGTGAATCTACTACCATTGTAATTGTTGTACTTGTAGATATCGTTGACTAAAATTTAAAAAAAAATATATAAAATTCAGTAACATATAAGTTTAATATAAATTTAATAAACATATGTAATCATAATTTGTAACAATTTTTCGTTCAAATTCTCTTCTATGTCAACTTTATATTTTTCTAAATAATCTAATATAATTTTCTAACTGCGGTGTAAAAATAGAACGATGCAATCAAAATCTAACGTATAAACTGGTAAAAAAGTGATATAAAGAATGTTATATTGAAATTTTAAATTTCTATGACAAAAAAAAAGCACACAAAATTCATTCATTCATTTTTGGATATTTAATTAAAACTATAATAAACGCATAAATAGAAGGATAATGCTTACTCGTTTATTTTTGATAAATGAAAAGCATTGATAAATATTAGAAAAAGCACAAAGGAGAGCTGGTACGGTAACTAATGCATGGATAGTCCCCAGTGAGATCACTAAAACGATTGCTTTTGTAAAAACCTGCAAGTATGAATTATTATTTGAATATAATGAAATTACGATAGAATTCTAATTTTAAAAAATATTATAATAATAAAAAAATATTTTATAGATAAAAAATTTATGAAAGAATACATACTTCACTCATATAGGATGGAATAAGTAGCAGAATAAGAAAGAAGAATACTGTTGATAAGCTACACTGAAGCAATGGAAAACCAATGGCATTAAAGCAGTCAGCAAGTCGGTCTTCTGTTCTTTGCAGTTGAGAATTGTATCCAGTACGATAATAATGAAATGTGATATGAGCTGGAAAATCAACTGATAAACCAATAGACATAATCATTGTTGCCATTGAAACTGGATCGACATCAATATTCCATAAAGTTAACAAGCCAAACACTCCTGTAGAAAATATTTTTTGATTTAAAAAATAATAATAATTTAATTCTGTAATAATAGAGGTAAAGTATTATTTCATCTTATGATTATAAAAATTGATTTTTTACAATAAAATCACCAATGCATATAGATGTAGTTGCTAAGATCGCAAGAAGTACAGTAAAAATATGTGTCATGAAAATGTAACACACTATTCCCATGCATGCTAAAATTACAAAAGAAGTTTGTATAGTTGTTGGCACTAAAGAATCAATTTGATCCGTGAATAACGCTTCTTCTTCGTATACTGAAGCTCCAATGTCTTAAAAAACCGAAATTAGCTCTAAACGAAAAATGAATTTTGGACATCTTTTAAAGTTTATACAGCAATTTTGTTTTATTTATCGTCAATTACATTTTAGTATTTAAGGTATGCAATTTTCTTATCCAACTAAAAAATATTAAAGCCATATCTGATATTGGTCAACTATTGCTCGCCATTCTTTCAGCATATGTAATCGCTGAATCCAGTCAGATTGATTTTCACCATGATAAGTTACCGTAACGTAAAAAGCTGTAAGACTGAAACTTGTTTATGGATGATAAAAGCTTTATACATTATAAGCTGATTCTAATTATATGATTTATCAAGCTTGCACAAAATCATGTTGTACTTTATGAAAATCAAAATCTGCAACAGATTATTTTTCATAAATTATACATAAATATTTCGAATTTAAAATAAGAATAAAACTGTTCTCATGAAAAGTTTTGAAAGTAAGGGGAATTTAATTACTACCAAAATAAGTAAAAGCTGACAAAAATTAGTCACCGATTGGTTTGATTATCAATTTTCATAAATCCACTCCAAGAATCATATTCAGGCCATTTCAAGAACTGCAACAGATCTTTTGAAGTATAGTCATCAAGTCCATTTTCATCAGTTTCTTCGTTCTTTGACTGCAAATAAGCTTCATAATCACGAAGCCAAAAATGTGTGAATCTGGAACCTTTACATCTTGGTACTGCTTCAAATTGAGCAATTAGTTCTTTCACGCGCTTTCTTCGTAATGAATTCCGTAGATCTCCTGGATTTGTGATGAACACTGTCACGAATGTATATGATGGCATTATGAATTTATTGCGTAGTCTTGTTATCTGAAAGAATTTTAGTCATTTCTACTACAAATTAATTGCAATTAAATTTGAACAAAAAAAAGTTTCTGAATACCTCAAGCATTGGTGAGTCAGCCAGAAATAATTTTTCTGGTGTTAAACGACCTTTTGCCATCAATGCCCCACGAATACTTGTTGTCCAGTAAAGTATAAGTAAAATGAATGTTAAAACTGAAGCAAAGCCACTTGAAAGAAATTTGCAATAACTGTTCAAGAAATTTCCAACCTTAAAAGGTTGAATATGAAAGTGAAAAATTGTAGCATTATTTTGAAAATCCCAATACAGCTTTGTTTATGATAATTTTTTTAGCTAAACCTATAAACAATTTATTGCTTTAATTGAACAAACCTTTTATACTGATTATTCTGAAATCGTTAAAAATATTACTTCAAAAAATTTCAATGCTTTAGTTATTTTAGAATTATGTCGAATATAACATGAATAAAGTCTTTATTACTAAATAAAGTATTGATGGTAATTGTTGAAATTTTTTAATAACAATATCCTATGCATTTATTTTATATCTTATTTTTTATTCTCGTTATTTTCACTATTTCATAGAATTATAGATCAATTGTCATACTGGTGATTTTTCCTTGCAATTTCCTTCCACAGAAATTTTATTTGTAGATTTTATTGAACTTTTTTGCTCCATTTGAATTCGGTCACCAATGCACATAACTGCGGCATAAAGTGTTATTGTATATAAATAATCCAGAAGAATAGCTGCTGTATTAGCAATGCATAATAATTGAATTTCAGGTGTTGGCGTGGTAAGTATACCAATACCAAAGGCTAGCATATTTGTAAGTGATGTTATTGTGATTGAAGGGCCGATATCTGTCAACACCTGAAGTAATTCAGGTATGCATACAATGCAATGAAATAATTCAAATTTACTATAAAAGTAAAATCATTAAAGCAATACTTACAACTGCTAAACGTTCTTGTATTGTTTTATACGAAGCTGTACCATTTCTTATCTCAAGTTCTGTCCTATTCCATGCATTAATCATCAAAAATGCATCATCAACACCTGAAATGAAGCATATTCTTCTACTGTTTTATTGTATTCAATACCTGTGTTTGATCTAAGCTTCCTGAGTATTGCACTTTACTTCAATTCTTGTGCAACTTTACTTAATATCAGGTGGGATAAAAAGTAAGAATGCTACAAATACACTAACCTATGGCTAGTACAAGAAATGGCGTAACACACAGAATAGAGCCGGGTCTCAAGCCAAGTAAAATTAAGCTTCCAAGAGCTGTTGATGTTGCCATTAAAGGTGTAACACATCCAAGCAGAGCATATCCTACTTTTATTAAAGAAAACTGAAAATAAGAAAGCATATTTCTACTTAAAAAGTACTGTAATTAATTCGCAAATATAATTTTTTTTTTGCCAATTACACAAATGCAAAAAATACTGTCATACAGACGAAACATTGCAACTAACACACCTCGTTATTTAGCATATATATATTCAGATAATTGATCTTGTAATTGACATAAAAAATATCTAAGACTGATTGCTTAATTTTAAATTGCGTATTAACCGTTAGACTGATATTTATTTCAATTTCTGAGAGCATTCTTCTATAAGCACAAAATTAAACTTAAATTTGGCAAAATGTATTTGCTTCGATAAAAAAGTTTTAATTTTTGTTAAGAATAGTTTTAAATTATCAAAGTATGATTGATTTGCCATTAAAGGGGCGAATTATTTTTATCCAAATTCCGTTTGATAGCAATAAAAATAATTGCTCAGTATGAAGTTTAATTAACTATAAAATTAATTGTAAAAATTTTTTGATATTTGACATATTTTTATTTCTTTAAAAATCTCTTTAAATTTCTACTCTTCTTTATATTTTATGTAAAATTTACACAACTTTACTAGCAGTGAAGAGAAAAAAATTGAAATCTAAAAAACTTTTACAATGCATTAAAGTAATTTTGTAGTGATATTTATTAGTATGCAAATTTTTAATGCAATAAATAAATATTTTGATATTTACCTGCTTCATATATGATGAACCAATGCTAACTGTTCCTACTGCAAATACACACATAACAATAAAACCCACTGAGATATACGGCATTAATGCTAGACCAGCACGTACGATTTCATCTTGTGTATATGCCATTGAAAAAACTATAGGTCGAATTAGTGAACTGTTGTATTCACTAAAAATATAAAGTAGAAAAGTGGCGACCGCTAACAATTAGTCCTAGAAATAACCTTAAGCAATACATGAATTTATTTTCCACTTTATTTACGGAAACCAATTAGATAAAAAGAAATTTATAAAACAAAGTGCTTTTAATAAAATTAAGTAATATTTCAAAGCATTTTTAGTTAGTCAATTGTGATGATGATAATGTAAATAAAATAAAAGATATCTAAATTTTTGACAACATGAAAAAGATAGTAGGGTTCATTTACATATATGTTATATATCCAAAAGAAACTATATTTAGAGTTATCAGTCAATATAGTAAGTAACTAGTAATGCTTAGTTATTTTGAATTTAAAAATAATGAAAATCTTTTGTATACTTCCTCAAATAACTGCCAACAAGACGTTCCCAAGAATAAGCATCCTCACTGCTCCATTCGCTTGGTCGTCGTGTCCGAAAATGTAAAACTATGAGTTCAGCAAATTCAATATGAACTTCCGAAATTTGCTTCACATCATTTGGGGACTGTGTTTCAACACCAAAAAAGTAAGGTGATAGGTCAAGATCACGTCCAAAGAATTGCATAATTGGAAATGAAAGCTTTATCAAATTGTCATCATCAGCATCAGTTTTGTTATTGCTATCGTTGTTTGCATTTGTCATGATGCTATTATTTCTTTTGTTCTCATCATTATTTTTAGACATTTTCATGAGTAAACCATTCTGAAATATGATATTATTAACTATATAAAACTGTCATTATGACAAAATAGCATTTATTTGTGTTGTACTATTTTAAGTACGTATTGTTGTCATAAATCTTACTATTTTTGTATGCGAAATTCACATAAACTAAAGTAATGAATGTCCATTTTCTCTAACATTTAAAAAAATGTTTATATCATTTTAAGATAATGTATTGAACATGTAATACAAAGTGTTATATTTTCTTTTATAATAATTGATGAATATCAAAAAACTTATTGCAAGCAATAAAGTAAATCGTAGTAATAAAAAACTTATTGGATTTGATATTTTATTTTCCATTATTTAATTTTATTTGTTACAAAGAAATAGTCGAGTAATATTATGATTAAACTAATTTTTTTTATGTAGAATAGTTTAAATGATTTTCTTTGTACAAATGAATAGTTATCTTACTCGAAATTGCCGAATAGGTTCATTGACATCACAAAAATCTTTACACATTCGGTAGTAAGTGTAATTTTTGACAGCAAAATGTGTTCCCACATAATCAACAATATTTAGTGTTTCATTTAAATGTGATATTCGAGTCATTGAACCACCATCTTTTGCCAAGATAATAATAATTACTACAACTGGATCTTTACCATCATTAAATTTTCTAAAAACTTCTAATTCAGTAAAAGCTCGAGCATTTGGAGGAGTATATCCTGATCGTAAATTATCCTGCGATTTTACAAATGGTAATTTTAAGGATGGTAATACTGTCATCAGTACCACTACCTAAAAATTATATAATTTAGTAACGATTCATAAGAAAATGCAATAAAAAATAAAACAAAATTCTTAATTTTTTTGTGACAAAGCTAATATATTTCCTTATTATCCAAGATAGAGTTGCAAGTAAAATAGTCTATGTATTTTTTTCACCTTATTTTCTTGTTTATTCTTTTATAATTTTAATTAGTTATTAAAAGGACAGCAATCGTCTTAACTTTGTATTTTAATCAAGCGGAACTAACAGTTTCCCAGAATTGAAGCGCAAAAGTTTTTATTTTCAAATATTTAACTTCATGTCATAAGTCTTTGTTAAAATAAAATTAAATTTGTCACACACAGACTTTTCTCACGATTATTTTTTATATTAACTTGAAATTAGCAAAACTTGTATTATATTACTAAAGGCTCGGGTTAATTTTTTGGTGATTTGCAGATATTATTACCTTTTAAACTTTTCTTAGAAACTTCGACAAAAGGCTTCTGACAACCTTCAGCTTTTTTTTCTCTAGAAAAAGATTTCAATAAAAGATCATATTGTCGCTGATGCAATATCCAAAGAGTTGAAAATTTAAAAACTTCTGAGGACCCAAATCATTTTATTTTTATTTTTAGTTTAATTGTTTGCAAAAAAAAATTCTCAAATAACTTCTGAATGCACGAAAAGTTCATATCTATATTTTAGACTAAACATTTCTTATAATTGTTATGGTACTGTTCACTTTAAGTTCAGGAATAAAGTGTACTGGAGTAAATAATGTAAGTAATTGAAAATAGAAAATCTTTATGCTGAATAATATTTCAGTTTCAAATATTGTAAATGAGAATGCATTGTCAAGAATACATTTTACAATAGATTGTAGCAAAGAAATCTCACTTTTTTCAAGTATTAAAAAAAATGCTAAAAATAGATATTACTTCATAAACTATTTCGATTATCTGGCTTTTAAGGCAACTTAATTGAATGATTAAATTTATATATATTTTAATTGCCTTATTTAAGTGATAAAATAATGAGCTTTCACTTAATATCATAAGTGTTTTATGGAGCATAACTGTAGTCAGACGATTGGATTACTTCTTTCTTTTTGCTTTTATAATCTTCTTATTATAACAACCTTTTCAGTATTTTATCAGTTATTTACATATTTTAATCATATCAGTCATTTACCAATATTTAGCTCTTGTAAATCTCTTATTTCACTTTATTCATTTGAAAGAGAAAAGAAAAAATTATAAAATGAAACAGGTTTCAGAACTCATAGAGCAAATCAGCCATCACATTGTTGAAAACAAACAAAGTTATGACGAAAATTATTTTCCGCAAAATTATTATTATTACGTGCGCAAACACTTATATTTTCTCGTTTATTTGCAAAAACTTTGCTATTTTTTATTAAATTAATAACCATAAAATCGATACGTTTATTAGTTAAAAAACATTGATTGTTAATTGAGTTGTTGACAAATTTTGAAAGTAAATTATTAAAAATAAAAGTAAAGCAGCAATTTGTAATGCAAAATGATTAAATTTAAAGATTCTCAACACTAACTGGTGCTAGTGAATAATCTGCGCAACTTTTATGCTGCAATGAAGTTTATGCTTAGATAAATTATAATTAGTAATTTTTTAGCGCAAAACTTGTTTCATATATAATTTATGCTAAATTGCAAATAGTTGCAAATTTAATCTGTTAAATGCGCCATTATAAATGTGATGCATCTAAGAATTATAATTATATTTTTGGCGGTCACATTTATCTATTCCAAAAAAAATCATTGATAAGCAAACAATTGGTGATATATTTTGGTTTAACAATTTAAAGATTAGAAAATACAAAATATATCTTGTATTTCTTTACTTCTTAAAATGTCAAATTTAATTTCAGTCAAGTATCTCGTTATCCAATTTATTGCAATATTTTTAAACATATGAATATTTTTGTGCAACAATTCACTCATAGTTAATACTTTTTTTTGGCAAATTAAATCAAAATTATTAAAATAGGATAAATTGAAATAAATAATAACTAAAATTAAATGATTATTTTGCATGCAACTTTGAACACTGCTGAAGTGCAGTTATTAAAATGTTTATAAAAAAGCAAATCAAAACAGCTTGCTAAGTTTGCAGTGCAGTTTTTTTGAAGCATCAAATATGCAACTTTTTTAAGTATTGAATTGTCACCACTTAATTCTTCATAATCCTTTACAATTTTATTTTTTAATAGAGCAAAATTTGAAAATTATAGGCAACAACAAGATATAACTATTGCATTTTTTTTGTGCTAAATTTGAGTAAAATTATATAAAAAGTAATTTGAAAAATAAAAATAAAAATTAAAGTGATGCAAATGAAATAAGAAGGATAAAATGAAAGAAACAAAATTACTTTGATTAAAATATGAAAATAAACTTACAAAGATTACTGTATAAGGATGATCAGCTACAAAATAAGCAGTCCATCTTAAGAAATTATTTAAAATATTGATGAATTTGGTACTTTGTCGAGGTGTCACCGTGGTATCATTATCCATTTCCGTTTTCTAAAATCATTACTGAAGCATGCGTTAGTAATTAAGAAAATTAAGTAGTAAATGTATTAAATGCGATTTTTATCATTTTTGCAAATACGGAATAATAATGGCTTGCTGATAGACCAAAAGCAAATGCATAACAGAGAATTATGGAGGACAGGATGTGTATTAGTGTGAGAAACTACATAAACTTAACAAAATTAAACTAGTTTTATACCTGTCTGTCTCCTTTTTCCTATTTTTCAAGTTTTCTTCGCTATTTCATCTGGTTTAACTCTTTTATTCAGCAAAATTGACTATATAATTATGGGTTTTATCGTAAACTAATAGTTCATTACAGTGGTATTATCACTATTTTAGATCAAATTGAAAGAATATATTTTTATTAACATCATTTTTTAAAGATTGCGCTGGCACTACTAGAAGAATAAATTAATTATGATATGCGTAAAAGATAAAATAAGACAATTATGACTGTTAACAGTCACAATATTTTTTATTATTAAATAAATCGTACAGAAGTATTTTTTGCTGAAATGTTTACATATGATTAATCATGAATTATCCTGAAAAAATAAACTGTTGTTTTTGAAAAAAAAAAACAAATAAATAGACGTAATTAGTCTTTAAATGAACTTAGTCTCATAATACTATCTGGCTTCTTTTCAATGCTTGAAACAAGTTTCATGTTTACTTCATTTCACAAATAGTTTTTCAATCGTTTTCGAGGCAGTAAAATTATAAAACAAGTTAGATTACATATACGTTAGATTTTGCATGCATATAATTTAATGAAGAAAAGTTTGAGGTCAACAGATTATTGAAACATTCAGTATAGGACAACTTAGCTTCATTTACTACCATAATAAATTAAATTAAACTTACATAGACTTTCATAAAAAACAGCAATTAATTTATAGTTTCAGTTTTTTTTACAACTTTTGCTATATATGCATAATGTATATGTATAGCATTAAATGCAAAATCTATAGACTCGTACAAGTGTAAAAGTAATCATTTACTTTAATAATTACTATGGATACCAAAATATTTTAATTGTTCCTCAATCATATTAATTAAAATCCATCAATTTTAGTTTAGAACAACTTTAGATTCACTCAGTATATAATAAATGTAAGAAAAATTGCATAACTCATGCAAATTTTAAAATTAGCATGAATTATGAATATTTTCAAAGTATTTGTTTAAAATTTACAAATGAACATTAAATAACCACAGTATTACTTTGCCAAATTTGATAAAATTTTATTTATATTTTGCTAAATTCAAGGATAACTTTTTACACATAATTTCAAAAGTTTAAATTGATGAACAGTTGAATTACACAATCATTTATTCAAAACTGCTTCAGTAAACAGAAATAACCTTTTTTAATTCTCAAAATAGAAAGTTTTTAATTGCATAATGTTTTAGCTCAATTTTTTCTTCGCTTTTCTGCATAGTATAGTAATCACATCCTTTTTGTAGCATCTGCAATTAAAAATTTTCTTCTGAATAGGAAAAACTACGAATGTCAAAATATTTCAGCTGTTCCTCAATCATATTAATTAAAATCCATTAATTTTAGTATCTATCTATCTATCTATCCATCTATCTATTGATCTATCTATCATAATCATAATCAAATCCTTAACATCTACTCAATCACTAATTTGTTTATACTATTACATTAGTAATACTCGTGTATGTTTAACACTTTTCATTAATATGAAGTTAATTCAGCAAACCTGAATGTTCTAATTTCTTCTAAAAATTAGTCATGCAATCAAAGAAAGTATTGTTTTAAGGATTATTACACACTTGTCAAAAATGGTACATATCTGAAAACTATTGATTTGAATGCGCAGTAGAGTATGAAGCCTAGAGACTGAAAATAAATTCCTGAAACTATAATTTCAAAAATTTGATTTGAAAGTCCAACTTTACTTTCAAATTAATTTAAACAACGGCAACCATCTAATCTCCAATTTTCTACACAATACGACTTCATCGTTAGTGCCTTGATTATTTGCCGAATATAATCTCCAACACATGAATTACAAGAAATTAAATGTTGATTTCCCACATGCACCACTGAATTAGTAAAGAATGTAAGGGAGAAAAACGATGCCACTCTTATTCGAATGACCTCCAGCAATGACAACAAACATTATATATGATATGCAGCTGCGATGTACATAAATTCAAATGTGATGTTGATCGGCGAATTTCAAATTACAATTAAAAAACCCCTCCTATCATAAATGTGCAACGTAAAGTGTGGAAACCGTAGCAAGTCTCTGCAGAAACAAATGTGCGTCACGAAACTACTACTAGTTTATCAGCAAGAAGATAAAACTACAAAGTCAATTACATCAATCTACCCATGATCATTTTACAATAACAACAATTCACAATCAGAAGATGGACTCCTTCCTTCATATTTCTTTACTCTTGCTTACTTAGTTTCTCTAACATTCCTGTTTTGCAAAGCATGAAATGCCAAAAATTCTCTGCTTGCCAGTTACTTAATCATAATGTCATTCAAATGGAAGAAATTTTTAATATACAACAAACAAAACATAGTATAAATTTTCAATCAGTTATATTTACATTTACTCTCCAGAAACCTTGAGCAAAAATCACTGCCTTTTTCATTTCGACTTTCTAATTTTGCAATCCTTGAACCAAATTGCATAGCACGTTTTGGTGCAGTACACAGTACTTCAGGTGTACCCAGTAACTGAAAAAAAAGGAAAGAAAAAAATCATGAAATAAGATTATCCTTTAGGATTAAATTGATACAAAATGATACAAAAGTAACCCTTAATGCCTCTCGTATTAGCCGTTTTTCTCCGATTCCTCGCGGTTGATCAAAATCTGTTTTATATTCAAGAGGTAGAGAAGCTACCCACTCCACAAATAAGTCATCGAGGAATGGTGATCTAGAAAAGCACAGAAATTGTTCTGCAATTTCCAATAAGAATTTTAACAATATTTTACAAAAAACAAGATCTTGATGTCATTTATTTAAATGTAAGCGACCAAGATTTATTTATAACAAATGCATAATCAACGAACCTTAGGTCTTTATCAAAACTTGAAACCACTCTATCATCTCGTCCTAAATTCCTCTCACCAATATTTTTCAGCTCTTTATGCAACTCTTCCAGTACTGCTTTCCTGCCACTTTTCAAATAGGTTGTTCTGTGTCGCATATAGCCTCCAAACAGTTCATCTGCACCACTTCCGGCAATTACAATTTTCGCTTCTGATCTTGAAAATTTTTTAGTGATTTTATAACCTGAGCCCATAAATATTAATAGCTCATTACTGGCAAATCATAACTGCTTTCAACAAATGCACTGAAGAAAAGACTAGTGCTTTGGAAAATTTTTGCATGAACGTTGCCATAAAATACAAAAATGATGACTACTGACTTTCCATAAACAAGCTCTTTTTTATCACTGAACAGGACTCCCTCACCTCGAGCAGCAAACCACACAACGCACCCAACAGAATCATCAAGAACTGTGTACGCTGGTGCAACAGCCTTTGCTATATACTTTTTGCGGCAGAACTCTAGTTCATCCATATCAACATTTACCAAAATAAGACGTTTAAAACGTCCAGGATAGCAAGATCTTAAAAACTTGAAAGCTTTTAGGCTTTGCTGCCGATCCGGGGCTCTATCATATTCCTAAAATATACTGAATATTTACTCTGCCCAAAAAAATTAAAGTTGAAATTTCTAAAAAATAAGAACAAAGAAAACATTAATGAAAAAAATAAAATAAGGCTGATCATATGGAAATTTAAAAAATTCACTTTTTCTTTGTCAAAAGCAACATTTGCCAAATCGAAAAGCACATTAGATTGTATGCAGTGGGCCATAACATGAGCAATCAGCAAACTATCAACACCTCCACTAAATGACAACAATATCCGTTCCAAAGAATGATTTAAATCAGAAAGTGTACGTTCTACGGCTTCTTTTAATCGTTCTAGCATTGTTTCCGCCACTGTTGAGATACATAACTGCATAAATGAATCAAATAAAAAAAGAGAACATAAAAAACTGCAACTGTTATTTGAAAGATTTTTCAGAAAAACATTTTACGTCTCAATTCAGTAAACCTACGGCCCTTTTATCATCTATTTCTGTCTTTACAACGCACGAAGAACATATCTTTTTATTTAATAAAAAGACAAGTACTTTGTAACATCTAACAACCATTAGTTCTTAAGACGTAGTAACTAACAATATATAAGTCAGAAGTCTACTGAAAACAAGGCATGAAATGTGAAACTAGAATTTTCTACCACATATAAAAATCCTAAACTATTACGGTGGTAAAATGGTAAAATTAGCTAATGACCTTTGTCAGTGGAACTTCATAGGTAAGTGTAAGCCTATTTGACGCTGATTTTCTCTGAGTTATATTCATTATACCGAATTGCTCTGTCCATGTTCTGCTGATTTCGAAAATATAAAAAGCAGAGCTATTTTTTTTACAGCATAAATCGAAAACTGTTATTGAGCCAGATGGAACATCGTGCCAGATATACTGAAATATAATTTTGATAATATCTGTAGCTATAATATATATAGCCATTATATATATATGCAGAATACATATGCATAAAAGGATTACAAAACTTGCATACATAACCACTCAACACAAATATTGTATTGTACTTCCTAACAGCTGTTGATTACCTTTTCAGTGCAGGCAAAATCAGAGAAACAAATCTTTTCATCCATTCGTTTCCACAGCAAACTTTTCCGACCAAATGCATCACGTCCAACTATTAGTTTTTGTAAATCTTTCTAGAAAATCAAAATTATATTAAAAGCTATTACTTTAGTAATTAAAATCTTTAAAAATTGTTCATTGCGTTGGCTACCATTATGATAAATGTCAACAGATTGCTTTAGATTACAAAAAAATTGCCATATTTTCTTTGTTAATAAAAAAGCTTAATAGATTAAAAACTACAGATTTAACTTAAAACAAAACACACATTAACTTTTTTCTGCAAGTTGATATAAATAATCAAATTCAATATAAATGAAGTCAATAACTTTGTGCATAATGGGTAGGACAAAGAAAAAGAACTGACAAAACTGCTGGCTTCGAAGGTGAGATAAAATATGTTAGGATACATTCAGATCAAATCTAATACTGAAAACACAGCTTCATTACCAAATTAAAATAAATTAGAAAGTGTTATGCCAGACAGAAATTATAACAAATAAACAAGTTAATCGGATAATTTATAAAATTGGTGTAATGTGCACATACTCATCGTTAATTGTAAATTTTTATAAATAAATGCAAAAATAGAAATATACCCTATAGCAAATCACTGCCCAACCTCCAATTAAACCATCTAATACATTGACTATTTCGTCACTGGATTTGCATGAATCCAATTTATTCACGATATTTTCGGGGTATGTATTTAAGTGGCCATTTACTGACGAGGAATAAGCCTAAAACACATTTACAAAATTAAACAACAGTAAATGAATGTAAAAAGTTAATAATACTGTTTCAAGCAAAAAGTATGACATTTATGTCACGACAAGTATAATATGAAAAATTTTTCAGTTACAGAAATCATTTCTAAGCAAAATTGAGAAGGAACTTAATACAGTTTTCAAAATACTACATTTCAATTCTTCAACTGTGATATTAGACATGTAGAATTGTAGCAAAATAAAGTGATGAATACCTCTACCTCTTGACGAGAACACACTTTTCCTGCAAAATACAAACAACCATTGGCGAAATTAATTGCACTTTCTCGCTGAAAAAATAAGTCTACTCTTTATATAGTTATAATAATGAAACTAAAAATGTGGAAGATTTAAAAATTAACTTACAAGAAACTTAATACTAGAATTTTCCACATCAAAAACTGCAATACCACATGACATTTAATAATTTTACAAACAGCGAGCACTTATTTCATTTATTTTGATATTTGCTTCGTTAGTGTACCAACAATTTCTGAAATAATAACATTATAAAATGTCCCTTACTTATTTGTTTCTCAAACTATACTATATCACCTGCTTCTTTAGTAATTATAATCAGTTTGCGTCCACTCGATCAAATTCTTCAGTAGCACTAGTAAGAATGCTCCTTGATGTTCACTATTTAATTACTATAGTTGCACTACAACTATTAAGATCCAACTTCCTACCTAACAATTTAACTTTGTGTAATAACACCATAACAACCAATCTCTGAACCCAATTCTAATTACACTAACACTAATGAGTAATGCGATGGTACATTTGCATTCTGTACTTTTACTTGTAACACAGCAATATGATATCTTAACTCCAGTGAAATCTTGCAGCCATACGTTTGTGGTGTAAGTTTAGTCTTTTGTGATGGTGTTTAAAGTAGTGCATAGTTGTTGTCTGCGATACGATCGAAGTGGATGACAAAGAATAAGACTAAAATATCAGTGCTGCACATACATTTTAAAAATTACAGAAAAGCACTGTCTTGCAGAGATGACCTCTAAAGTGAACTTCAAAATTCTCACTTTTTCAAATTGAACTTCTAATGCTGGTAAGAAGCTTGATACTATCCCAAGAGTAATAAACCTTATAAATTATACATTAACCAGTTTCTCAAACTCAACAAATAATTTATTGCGTATTTCAGCTTTCAAATATTTCTTGAATATAAATCAAAGTTAAAGATAGTTTATCTTTACAAGACATAAGTTTGACTACATATATTTTTGAAATGGTTACAGTTGCAGTCATATTGGTAAGTGCTGTTAAATAGTTGAAAACTCATGTTGTGAAGCTTACTTTAATGTCGGGCAGTATACGTACTTGATATTTTTGATATCTTGAAGAGTATCCATGGTAACGATTTTTGCTTGGATCATACATTTACTTGAAATTTTTTCTACTTGGCTTATTTTTGCTACACGCAAATTAAGATAGCAGATTTTGTACAAAAAAAATATATACGAATTATTTTTTATGACTAACCAGAAATGCATCAAAATTGCTTTCACATTACACATCATCACGGTTTTATTTAATTTGTTGTGTTTAATATATCAGAGAATTTTATGAGTTTTAAATTGACTGTATGTATGCTTGTTAATGCAAATTTTTGTTTGTATAACCTTTAATTCATTTGATTCTTTTTTAAGCACTTGAAAAAACATTAAATGTAAACTCTTTACGCAATGAATACTTGCGTGAACTTTAAATTCATCTACAATATTTGCTTGTAATTCCATCACTTACTGCATTGCAAAATAGTTTATAGTTAATTGATGTCAAGACTTAATGTTAAAAATCAAACAAAGCAACTAGAATTGTTCAGAAATTTTTTTTTGAAATAGTTGTATTTTTCTGTGCAGCAGAAAATTTGACATGCAATTGTATTTTCATAATAAAGCGAGGGAAAATGATATCCTTCAAGATTTGACTTTATTATCAGAATTTAAGATAAAGTGATAATTCACTCAAGCCATAATGGCACTTTTTTCAAAATTTTAGTGCGATACGATTTTGCAAAGCAATTCAACCAAATGTCGTCTGGAAACGAACTAATTGATGATGCGGAAAATAGTTTGATGTATACAGGAGTTAAGAATGAACGCATTCTCCCCATTAATAATCCTGAAGGATCCCATAATGGAAACGATTGTAAACGAAATTTGAAGCAAGAAATTAGAGGAAAGTACGCAGTAAATATTCAGAAACGAGAATTACAATGTTTCGATCGCAAAAACTTCATTCTTCACCAACATTTTATTCGAAGGGATTTTTCTGCTTGCAAAGCTTTGATAAAGGTTGCTCCATTTTTCAAACGAATTAAAAGTTTACCTTCACCACATTGAGTTTTCAGTTTGCAGGCTTTCAAATAAAATTCATAAAATGAAGCTTTAAGTTTTGTGATTGCAGGAAATGTCAGACGATTACAAGTGCATGTCTGAATACCCATTTTACGTTAGAGGTAAAATAGCTCGGATTGAAGGAAATTTTCGAGAAGCTTTATACTGGTCAAAATTTTCATCTCTTCATTACTATCATCAGGAAAATATTTGCATCTATGATTGTATTACTAAATCATTTCATTTATTTTATTAATAAAGTTTAAAGGTTTGAAAAAGCACGATCATTGAACCCAATGAATTGTACTTACTTACGTGAAATCGGTCGTTTACATTTTCTGCTTGGAAATCATGTCAAAGCAGCGGAAATTTTTTTGGATGCAATCAAATTAGATGGAAAAGAATGGGTAAGTTTAGTAGATGGATCATAAGGAAGGAAACATTACTTTCTGAATATCCATATTAATTTAAAGTTAATGTTTTTAACATATGTTATTCTAGAAATTATTTGCGATTTATTCTTTGAACTAACTTTTTTTCTTCCATAGCACTATACATTTTTCACTAATGTTTATTATCTTCTATCATTTTTGTTTATATTTCTCATGACAGATTAAGGAATGACTTAAATTAAAGGTCACAGAAACATTACGATTCTACTAAAATTAAAACTAAGCAAATAAATTTAATTGTTCAATTTCAGAAACTGTATTACTGGCGAGCATTGGCGCTTTATCACATCAAGCAAGACTCTGACTCTGTACTCAAAGTGACCTTCTTCAATGTTCACCCCAAATGGACCTTCACATTTTACATTATTAAATATTTTGCTTTAGTCATGATTATTTTGAAGTTACTTTAAATTTGAGATATATTCAATTTTCAGGCTCAAGAATGCTTGATTGCAGCTCCTTCAGAAACTATTCAGCGTGCTGAAATTTTAACATTCATGGCTAAGTTATTCGAACAGCGTAATGATATCAAACCCGCAATAGAAGCACAAAAGAAAGCACTGGAGGTAATCCTTTTTATGCAAATTATTAAGTAAAATTGAAAGTTCAATACTGTACCTTTATTTTATGAACGTTTTGCCACTAATGAATATACTTATAAACAAATGGACCACTTCTTTTACTCATTTTACTTATAGTTATCGTAAAAATTTTGACTACAAAAGTCTAGGCAATCATAAAGCGACAAGATATTTTTTTCACTAAGCGTTATTATCTGCAAATTCATGATTTTTACATATCTTATAAAGAAATAATTGAAGTTCTACAACCAGTAAAAAAAATATAATGTTGACTTCCAATCTTTATGAATAATTAAATAATTATTGGTGACAGTAATATTAAGTTGGAACCAGAAAATATCGACGTGTTAGCAAACATGGGACAACTATATGTTCGGTGGCAAAATGATGATCAAGCGTTTGATGCTTTTGGTAAAGCTCTTAGTTATGATCCAACACATCCGCAAAGTATTTTAGGTGCAGGCTCCATCATACAAACAAACGGTGAATATGATACCGCCCTTTCAAAATATCGGTTTGTTTACATTCGACAATTCATACGTAATTAATTTTAAGAACTAAAAGCATGCGAAGAATTTTCCAAATAAAAATTGTAAATAGACAAATAAAACTTCCTACTGCTAAAGTAAAGATAAGATTTTGCAGTGACAATTTTTACTGATTTCTTTTGTTTAAATAATTTAGAATGGCTGTTGAAAAATGTGAATACAATGGACCATTATGGAATAATATTGGCATGTGTTTTTTTGGTAAAGGCAAATATTTGGCGGCATTAAGCTGCCTTAAAAAGGTAATTTCTTTTTCTGAAATAATATTACTTTCTGATACTTTTCTTATATTCAGATGTAAATAAAGTTGAAACCATAGTCTATTATTTTAAGGCACTATATTTGTGTCCACTTGAATGGAAAATATGTTATAATCTTGGCATTGTACACAATGCTATGGAACAATATGCATCCGCTTATCATTTCTTATCATCAGCTGTTAATTTAAATACACGCTCTGCAATGGCTTTTATGGCTTTGGCAGGTGTTGTTTATTGCTTTTTTTCGTTACAATCATAAAACATTACCAAAATCAGTTTTAGTCTTCTAGATAACTAGAATGTATTGACATTCTGATATCTAATTATCAAAAAATTGTGGTATTTAAAATTTTACCGTTTGAAGATGATATTCATGAAGTAATGATGACAAAATAACTTCAGTGGTACTTACAAATCTGGATGATATATTCAACGCAAAAAAAGCTTATGAGAAAGCATTACAAATTGATAAGAACAATAACGTATTACTACATCTGAATTATGCTATATTTCAAGCAAAGCAAAATGAATTTGAGAAATCCATGGAATCATTAAATACATTTTATCAAGTATATCATAGCAATCAACAACCTTCACAAGTATGTTGACGATTTTGTAACAGCAATTAAAGATATGAACGGATATTTATTACGATTGATGCAAAATGATAAAGTTTATAGTAAGCATAAGTTTTTAAATAAGATAATAAACCCCACAAATACATAATTAGATCATAACTGTTCTTCTCTTTCAGGAAATGGTTGTTATGGCTAACCAGCTTAAATGTTACTTGACTAAAGCAATGAAAAATAAAAAATGTACAGATGACTACTGTGTTCCACGATGATTCGTATAAAATTTACGATAACCATTTTATACTTGTTATTTCTTATTCGCCATAATCTGTGTTTATATGATGCAAAAATTACGAAAAATCCGCTGTAAATGAAATAACATTTCATATAAAAAAACAAGATATTTGACGAATTCTAAGTACTAAATCGCAATATAAAGAAAAATAATTATCAGTTGACCGTAACCTACAAAACGAAAACTACGTAAGAACCCTTACGTAACAAATGACAAAAGATTTAGATACTTGCACAATTAAAAATTTCGAAAAGAATCATATTAGTAATTTGGTGGGTACATTTCAGATTAAAATCAAATGGTAGTAGGTCCGATGCGTTTCATTTGGCAACTTATGCAACGTTTCATATGGGACCAAAAAATTGCATTATGGTTTTGGGGGGGGCAATTAAAAAGTTCCATCGTTGCCTAACGATAACAATGTGATCTCGGTTTCTTCTTCCTCGTGACATAAGTCTTAGTAATATTGTTGGTTGGGAATGTGGTTAATTGTCTGGAGCTGTTTACAATGGAATGGTTGGTTCTGTTGTGTGTCTCGCGTGGGCCTTATATTCCTCGATAATAATTTGTTAAAGCTGAAAAGTAGTGTGCTTGTTAAATGGAATGAATTGAAAATTAAAAATTTAGGTACACTGCATATTTTAAGCAAGTGCATAAAACCAAGAGTAACAACCTTTAGTATTATCGATTTTAGCAAATGTATTGTTTTGTACTTCGTCTGCTATACATTTGGTAAGACGTAAGTATTTACATTATGAATATCAGTTGCGTATACTACTCCAAGATTTTTGACACGCATTTATGGGATTTAGAAAGTGAGGTAGATGTCAAGAGATAGCCGTATTTACGTTGGTAATCTACCCACAACTGTTCGGGCCAAAGATGTGGAAGACATATTCAGCAAGTATGGCAGAGTACTCTATGTCGATTTGAAAGACCGACGACAACCATACTTTGCCTTCGTGGAATTCGAAGATGTTAGGTACAGTCGTTGATTTTTGAATGTATTTCCTGCCAAATAGACTGCTCTATTTGTGATGTGTAGTTTTCCATCATTCTCAGGAAATGTATTGAATGGTAGAATTTGATTTCAGAGATGCTGAAGATGCCGTTAGAGGTCGAGATGGTTATGATTATGAAGGTTATCGGCTTCGCGTGGAATTTCCACGAGGTGTAGGACCGAGAGGACCTGGAGGTCGACCGTATGATACTGGAAGAGGTTTTTCGTCTCAACGTGTTAGTTCTGGAGGTGGTTCCAGTGGCGGTCGACGAACAACGTATCGCGTCAAGGTTTCGGGTTTACCTGCGTCAGGTTCGAGTCAAATCACAACTCTCATCTCCGTTCTTTTTTTCAGATTGTTGTGCATATTTTCATTTCTTAATTTCGTACATTGATTGGTTTGTGATATTTACTGCAAAACACGAATAATTCTTATTGGAAACAATTTAGTGAATTTAGATTCTTCTTTTTTGTAATGTAATAAAACCTACACAGAGTTTAGATTGAATTTTAGGTTCGTGGCAGGATTTGAAGGATCATATGCGAGAAGCTGGTGAAGTTTGTTACACGGATGTACTACGTGATGGTACTGGCATTGTCGAATATGCTTGCTATGAAGATATGAAGTACGCTATTCGCAAACTCGATGACACAAGGTTCAAGTCTCACGAGGTGTGTTAATTGCTCAGTATCTATTTTATTTACGTTGCAGTGTAAATTATCTGTAATTTTCTTTCTTGCATTGGAAATTCCAGGGTGAAACGTCGTACATTCGAGTTAGGGAAGATAATGGTGATTCGCGTGCTCGTTCTCGTTCTAGGTCTCCGGTTGGTCGTGCGACTCGAGGTTCGCCCGAATACAGTCCTCCACACAATAGCAGCAGAAGTCGCTCTCATTCACGTTAAATTGTCAATGCATGTTCCTTTACCCATCATTTGTTGCGTTGATATCCAACTGACTAGTGTTAATTAATCGACCTCATTCAATTCATGGATGGATATTTAGGATCAACAAAATACGTATGTTATTGCTTGTGGGAGGGGTATTTAATAACTTTTAATTTCCCCAATATTGATTATATTGCTAATATTATCGTCTATTAACATGCAGAATTATATATTTTTTGAGGTTAAGCAGTAGTTCATGGCTTTTTTAGATTTGCTACTGTTATTATGAGTATTGAGAAACATGACTCTTTTCATAGTATTCACTTGGTCGTTTGCCGAAAATTTGTTTGAAGTTATTATGCTGATTTTGAATACTGTCGTATGATATAAGTGTCTCCTTTTTTGGGGTTGAAACTGTGAACAATGTTGATGGTTTATCTTATCAAATTCGTTTATTTCTAAAAAAATTAAATTTGTTTTACTTGCAGTGTGGAAACACGTTACATCAAGAAAAATTCTTAAGCACATACAGTTATATGGTACTGCTCCTCAATATTCCTACATTTATGGATTATTCCTAAGGAAAGGAGACACTAAGGAAAGGGTTTAGATAGCGAATAACACATTAATGGCAACGGAAATCAGCTTAAGGAATCATATGTGAGAAGTCTTTATTGATAGCTGTCTATACGGAAGGCATTGTATTGTGAGTTTGCTCACTCCTCACGGAGTCTTCTGGCAGTACGTTATGTGTTTGAGAATTGAACGACAGTGTCATATTATGAAAAAGTTGGGTCATTGGGAGTTGCTGTGCACGCTTTTGTTGCTCAAGGAAGCAGCGTAATCGCAAAGATAAAACAAGGTCATTTTTTTGTGATCTGATATTTTCATACTTGGGGCTTATATAGTAAGTAGCTCTGGACGTTCAGTGATATTTATATCATAAAGTGGTATAAGTTCTTGTCCATGATTGTAATGCATATGTACTTTCACTGCCTAGTACTTTATATATAAGAAAAGTGGTATGTAAGCAGGTTCTAAACAATTCATTCAGTGTATGAGATTACTATGGTTCGTCAACTTTGAAGTACTGAAATTTCTAGGTGATAACAAGATTTCTGCCATAAGTATGGGTCAGCAGTTGGGGTCTAGTTACCTTGACCTTAAGTTTATATTAGGTTACTTTCTGCAGTGGTGATTTGAATACCCATAAGTGTGTTAAAAGGTTGAAACAATTTATCCGTCTTCTTGCTTACGGATCAATTAAAAGGAGTCGAATAGTTTTCAATTTTACTGGTATCACAAAATGTCGTTGGAATATAAATTGACATTGGTGCCGTATGCACTGCTAATCATTATCCAGTGTTAAGGCATATTGAGGAGTATAATAACACTACTAGACTGATGACTTCTACTTTCGCTATCTTGAGTCATGTTGCAGTGATTTATCAATAACTGAGGAATGAAGAGGGTTCTTGATTTTTCGAGCTAAAACCAGTGGTTCTTAACTTATCTATTACTCTGATGAATTAACTGCCATTTAAATCTGGTTTGCGTTGTAAATACTTCTGGTAGTTCATATGCTCGTGTCATCTTGTCACTGAGCGAACTCTAAATCATGTCCTTCGTACTCCTCTCCCTACGACCATTACATATTACTGGTGCGTTTCATAGTATGTTGTCAGTAATATTGGGGGACATTTTATTGTTGGTACAATTAACAGGATGGTTCTAGCTTCACCAAAAATATTACCTTCTACTACATCATATGTTATCAGATCTTGTGAAAAAAGAACATGTTGCAGCTTACATCTGTTCAACAATTTTAGCCACGTGTTGTTACTTCTTTGTTAAAATTACTATAAGGTTTCGAGTCCATTTCTTTCCATGTAACATAGTTTTAATTAGTGAGTGGAAGGGCTATGTGGTTGCACATAGTTTTAATTAGTGATTGGAAGGGCTATGTGGTTGCGGTAATGTCTACTTCAGATTATAAGCTTTAGTGAATATTTGAAAAATTGATTGATTTTAAATATTTTCTGAGAGAAAATTTGAATTATATATAGAGAAAAGTGGAGAATGAGAAGTCTTGTTCATGATTATAAAATAATAGTTCGTTATTCATAAGGGTTCATTTTATATATGGTTCAGTATATTTGCTGGTTGCTCTGCGCGATTCTATCTCCGAATATTATATTAACGGAATTGCCATTTTTTATGGTATCTTCAATTCAAATTTTCGAGGAATAAAATTTTCCATATGAACTTGGGTAAACAAACTGGTCTTTACTGTCATTTACGCCCTTCTGTTGCTGCCATCATCAGGTCAGCTCATCTGATGAAGTTTGGCACTGAAGCTCTTTAGTAGCAAAAAGTAACAGTATTGGTTTCTTCACACCTCAAACTGCAGTAATTCAATCTTTACTGAAGTTCCGTCATTTCGACTTCAACATGCATTATGATTCCATTCCTGGAAGTCCAGCATTTTTGTTGAGGAACCTGTTTACTATTCACATTATTCTATAATTATAAATTATGTTTGAAACAATGAAAAATCTAAATTCGAAGAATGAAGACGTCATCTTCATTTTTCAGATTTTTACATGATATTACAGAAAGCCATTACTGTCATTGCTGACAAGTATTCATTTACAATTTTGTGGTTTCCAATTGTGTTAATCAACTCTTAATTGGAATCAAAAGAATTTGCATTGTTGATCTCAATACATACAAACAAGATCACTATTGGGAAAACCAATTATAACCACTCTTATTATTAATTCATAGATTTGTGCATGGATTGTTAAAAATAATGATGAACTGCTAGTTTTTGTTCTTGAAGAATATCATTTTTCACAAGCTAAAATATCTTTCAGTGGTTACAACACCCATTGTAGGTGATGATAATGTTACTCTCAGGATGTGTACTGCGAAGAAAGGATAATTACACGTTAGTTAAAGATGCCAAAATAATAGAAAGTGGTAACGCTCCACAACGGTATTTCTGTCTTCTTATTTTGATTTTTTTTAGTGAAAGTGTAGTCATGTAGAGTACGTAATTTCTGTAAAATTTTTATTGATTTGGCATCATGTTATGTCGTTTTCGATATTTTTATTAACTACTTGTATTTTGGTGGTTATTTGCGCGTTTAATTCCATTTTTAAGCATGAAGTGTTTCAACACAGTCTGCTTAATTTGAGATATTTAAATACCAAGCACATTATTTAGAAATGACACACAACTATCACTAATCATAATTATGTGTATAATGTGCGTTTCAGTGCAACAAAAAAGCCGGATCAAGGATGGGGCGATCTTAATGATGATACACTTCGAAATGTCGCTACATTAACGCATTCCGAAAGTGTTAAAAAGTAGGCAGTAACACTATTGCAATCGGACTGAAGAAAATCTTTTTGCAAGTAACGTGCTAATCCAAAAGGGAATCCTTTACTGACTGATTTATACGAAAACTTACGTTGAAATCTGCTTAAAATTAAAGGTATTTTTGTTCTCAAATTTTCGCTCTTTTTTTATCATGATTTTGCATTAATTGCATGCGGTAAAGCGCTGATTAAAACGTATTATGCTAGTGAAATATTCAGATTTTTCTGTAGTACACAAAATTGGTAATTGTCTATAATAAGTACTTTTATTCGTCTCATTTTTGAACGAACAATTTTCTGTCGTATCTCTTTGTTATCACCTTATCAGCATGTCACTACACTTGACATCATGTGTCAAATTTAGAGTCGCTAGGTTATTTATTATTGTAACTTCTTTTATTTGTAAAAAAAAGTTTGCAGTTGCAGTAACTAATTTGACTAATGAAAATTTGATTGGCATAATACGTAGGGAGCAGAAAAAAAAATACATGGATAACTGAGTGAATGAATGATTTGAAATAGGAATCGGTTCGCTGGGATAAAAAGAAATCAATGAAAAGTTATGGGAAATTTTTATGGCTTCAGAAATTTGGATGGAAGTATAAAGTATGTTGAAGTAGACATGACAGTTCTATTTGCAACAGCAGTGAAATTTGCGTAATGGAATTAAAGTTATTTTTGTAACAATAAATGTTATCTTATTCCTCTTGCTCACACTGCTATTTTATCACAAAAAAGCGTACAGGAATCTTCCCTTCTTGCAATATTTTTCCACTCTGCCGTGAAACTTTCAACCCTACACGCTTGATAAGTGGCCACACTTTTTATTATTTCACGATTGAATGATGACATTTGTGAGACTTTCATCTGTTGTCTTTGCAATAGCACCTTTGTTATCCGCTTTTTTGTGGTACACTTACTAATAGTCGCAAATTTCAACTGTTTGAATTGTTGTTTTTGTATCTTGTCTTGGTTGCATTGTAGTAAAATTGAATTTTTTAAACCGGTTTTTATTGTAACAAATATTTCCTCTTCCTCATCTCTTACTCTTTTACTTTCTATTGAAAGTTGCCTCAGTTAAATTATTTTCTTGTTAAAAAGGATTTCTTAATGTTTATGTGTGTGTGTTTTTTCCATTTCTGAAATTGTTTTAAAGTATATTTTAATTCTCAGCTAGTAAAACATATTTCATCCAGTTTTTATTTTAAATTTTTCAAAAAGAATAGTTCTGCTATTTCTATATAGAGATGCTCATTATAGTATTGAGTTATTGTTAGCGCATCAATATCTGATCACTTTCATATTATTCATCTTTAGATTACAGTACAAAGATGATAATGATTTGTTTAGAACAGCGTCTTTTAGTAGTCTTAACTCATTATAAACTTATCATTATTACTCGTATAATTTGCAGTGTATCGAAATCATTCAGTACTCGAAGTAAGTAATTTGCAGTGTAGTAAATGATTTTTTTCTCTTGTAAAAGAAAATTTTTCAATAATTTGTCATAAGATAATTAAATTTTGAAAATAAATGACATTAATGATTTGTGAGTAATGTAGTATGCTAGAAAGTGTTTCATGTAATCATTCATCAGTCAATATGTTTTGTTATTTCTGCTTGTAGAAGAA